GCCTCTTGAGTCTTGAGCTAGCTAGAGGTGAAGAACGCAATTCCAGGTATAGTTTGTTTGTACTAAGGAATTGAACTCAGGGGAACTTTCACCACTAAGCTACACCCTCATCCCATTTTTATTTTTGAGACAGGGTGTTGCTAAGTTGCTTAGGGCCTCACTATGTTGCTGAGGCTGGCCTTGAACTTGTAATCCTCAGGTCTCAGCCTCTGGAGTCTCTGGGCTTCCAGGTGTAGTCTTTTTGGCTGGAAACTTGCTGCCCTTGAGATTTTATCACTTGTGAGGAACATATGAATAGAAAACTTTGGAACTAAAGGAGTACAAACCTTTCCAAATAGCCTGTTCAGAAGATCTTCCTGTTCTAAAGCCTAGACTAGGAGTTTTCTGTTTGTTGCTTTGTTTTTGCAAATGATAAAACTGATTCAGAGATTAAATACTTTTCTACATGCACATCACAGAACCACCTTTTGGACCCAAGTCCATCTGATAACAAAGTCCCAGCTCTTCCTACAACAGCACACTGTCTATAAATGCAATACTAGGCCAAGGTACATGCTCAATATATCGATGTGAATTTGAGCCAGAAATAGGATGGGTGTAGTTGAAGCATCATGATGGCACTTTTCCTACAGGAGGGGAACAGAAGCAGCAATGGAGTTTCCACACAAGATGACTGCTTCTTCCACAGAAGACTAGCCCAGTGCTTCTCAAAATCTAACGTGCATATGAATCATCTGGAGAGATTAATAAATTGCAGATTGTGAGTCAGTAGTTCTGAGAAGTGGCCTGAGAGTCTACATTTTTTAAAAAGCTGCAAGATGATGCTGATGATGCCAGGTCTTCAGAACAACATTCTTCACCCCCAGGATGATGGGTCAGATAACAAGTTATGTTAGGTATTATAACTTGTGTGGTCTCTGCCCCAGCTACTCAACCTAGCCTTTGTGACCTAAAGCAGCCAGAGATAACTACCATTGTCATGATGGCATTCCAACAAATATTTATAAAAATAGGCCCCAAGTCAGATGGCCCATAGGCATCAGCCTCTCAACACATAGGCATTAGTTTGCTGATCTCATATATAGGCACTGTAGACCCCACGTTTGTGGTTATATAAGCACCTGCATTTTCCATATGGCTCCACTTATCAAGGTGAGAAGGTGACTAATGGATTACAAAAAGAGGGCCCCCCCCAAAAAAATCAGTGGTTTCCCAGCTTGACCAAACCACTAGGAAAACAGTCACTCATATCAAAACTCAATAGTTCTGTTTTCTTTCTATGAAGTTGACACTGTTGTTTCTCTAATTTTCCACCAAGTAAATTAATATTTAATATTAATATTTAGTATTTTAATATTTTAATTCATATTAAATACTTAATATGTAGTTAGCATTGCTGGGAGCAATGAGGAATTCTTTAAAAACAGTTACAGTCCATGTTCTTTAAGAGTTTTCTTGGTGTTATTGTGCTACTAAGACATAGAAACATGGTTGCAGAAAATTTAAACACCCATGGAGAGATTATTCAGTAAATGCACATGTGGCAATTGGTTAGGCATTTGGAAAAATAATGGAACCTGGCATATGCATCTATTATCAAAATAAATTCTAGTTGCTTCAAACACTTAAATGTAAACATTATGTAAACTGTAAGAGAGTATTGGATAGACACACACACACACACACACACACACACACACACACACACACCCCTCTCCTAATTTTGGAGTTGGAAGAGTCTATTGGGAAATGTGAACATCAGAAGCCACAAGGAAAAGATCATATAATAAAAAGCATCTAAACCCGGTGGGGTGGTGCATGCCTGTAATCCCCGTGGCTCAAGAAGCTGAGGCAGGAAGATTGCAAGTTTGAGGCCAGCCTCAACAATTTAGCAAGACCCTATGCAACTCAGTTAGACCCCGTCACAAGATAAAAAAATAAAAAGGGCTGGGAATGTTGCTCAGTGGTTAAACACCCCTGGGCTTAATCCCTGGTATTCCCTTCTCTCCAGAAAAGCATCTTCATGGGAAAAATCTTTCATTGAATAAAAAAAAAAAAAACCACAAAGAATCGGGTAATTATTTTTAATATACTTGGTATACACTGAGTTAATTATTCAGCTAATAAAAACTCAATAGAAAGTTTAAAATAGACTAAAAGAAAAGTGGTCATAATTCAGAGTACAAATTGCCAATTAATTTTAAGTAACAGTGTAAATGCTAACAAAAGAAAAAAATATCCACACTAAAAATTGATTGAAATCCATCTCCTACTGACAGGTCAGCTGCCGTCTTGGATTCTTGGATCATACGTTCTCCAGCTGTTTCTTTCTTTTCTTTGTGGTACTGGGGATCAAATTCAAACCTCGAATATGTAGGCAAGTGCTTTACTTCTGAGCTGTCTCTGGCCCATATCCCCAGCCTCCAGATGTTCCTTCTGATGATGCCTGCACCTGGAATCCAGCCCCAGCGTTGAGAGGCCTCTTAGAGCCATGCCAGTCCTCAATCTCAACTGGGCCCAGCCTCAAGTCAGCCCAGCCCACGGGTCAGGGAGGTGAACGAAAATCCCCCAGATGATTCCAGTTCCCAGACCTTCGAGTCATTCACAGACATTTGGATCTTCCCAGCTGAGTCCCCCAACATGTTGGAGCAGAGCAAACCTGTTGCTACTGTCTGTACGCTTTCTGAAATCCCCTTGCCCAGACTCCATGAGTAGCATAACAGAGTGGTTGCTGGGCTCATATACTGAGGTTTGGTTAAGGACCAAACTGCTGAGGGCCATTACCAAGTAGGAATGACGCATCGAAATTTCCTTGCCAAGCGTACCCCATGCTGCTTAGAGGACATTTGATGGGACAT